TAATATCATAATAATCTATCAGAATGAAATGAAGGGCTAGGAAGATAGCTCAGTGGAGTAAGTGCTTGCCTGGCAAGCACAAGGTCCTGAGTTCAATCCCTGGTACCACAAAAAAAAAAAAAAAAAGAATAAAATGAAATCAATCAAATCAGATTATGTTTAGCACAGTACTTGACATATATTCAATACCTAATGGTAATGGTTTTTCTTACGATTATAATTATTATATACACTTTTTTTTTTTCTTTCTGAGACAGTTTCACTATGCAGTTCAGGCTGGCCTTGAACTCAAAGTGGCCGTCATGCCTCTGCCTCTCAAGTATAGGGATTATCTGTTTCTATAAGACTGAAAATACCTTTTTACTCTATTTTATAATTGTTTTCCTATTTCTTTCCCACTTTCAATGTAATGTTGCTTTTCACTGTGGGACTTAGCATTTTTACTGTCCCTAGGTGAAAGAAGCTAAAGTCTAGGTGAGAAGATATATTCACATGAAAATTTCCATACCATACATGTTAAGGAAGTGATATGTGTGGAGTATTATCTTATTTTATTTTATTGGGGTTTTTGAGATAGGGTCTCACTATGTAGTTCAGGCTGGTGTTGAACTCACAGCATAGCCCAGATTGGCCTCAAACTCACTGTGATCCTCCTGCCTCAGCCTCCCCAGTCCTGGGATTATAGGCATGCAGTGCCACAGCCAGCAGTGTGAAGTGTTTTAAAGAAGTATAGGACTGACAGCTGCTTGAGTTGTACAGAAAAGCACTGTGTGTTTATAAAGGAAGAATCCTTGTGGATGGCGCCCGAATAGATGGCCTGTCATGAAAGGTGAGAACTTGAAGAAAATTCTGGACGAGGGAAGCAAACCAAGGCTGAGGGCCCAGATCCAGACTGCGGCCTTGGTGGTAAAGGAAGTTCTCTCAGCGCTCCCTTCATTGTCTGCAGCTGCTTTCAGGTTGGCTCTGTAGCTACAGCAACCGCGTAGCCTGCATGGCTGTGTGCCAACCCCTGTTATACACAGTGGAAGGAGATACTGGTTTTTATACAGGCCAGTAATATGGTAAAGCCTAGTTTAGAAAGATACTTAACTGTTTTTATAATCATACCGGAGAGACCAAGCATAGTGGCGCATACCTGTAATCCCAGCACTGGGGAGGCTGAGGCAGGAGGATTGTTGAGAGTTCCAGACCAGCTTGGGCTACAAAGTGAGCTCAAGGCCAGCCTGAACTACATATTGAGACCTTGTCTCAAAAAGGACAAACGGGCTGGTGAGATGGCTCAGTGGTCTAAAGCACCTACTTAGAACATGCTAAGCTAAGCAAAGCACAGAGACCACAGTTCAATCCCCCAGCACCACATGCCAGCCAGCCCCGCCCCCTGGTGGGCTGAGCTGGCCAC